AAAAAAAAAAAAAAAATCATTCTGGCTTTATAGACTGTAGTCCTCACACCCATTAAATTCTGAAGCAACCCCAACTGAGATTGCCTATTACCAAAACAGAAAAAAGAAAAAAAAAAATGAGATTGCCAAATTTTTTTCATGACAGAGATGTACGATTGCTCTTCTGAGTCTGACAAAGAAGGTATGCCTTTACAACCTGCATACCCTCTCTTTCCCAAAAGTCAGCAGCCTGGGTCGGACACGTGATCTGCACGTGACTGATGGATGTTTGTGCTTTCAACTGAGCTTTCATTTCCAATGCCTTATAATGCAATCTCTCTCCTTAATCATTTGTAGGGAAAAAAAAGAAAAAAAAAAGTGTAGACCAGATCTCCAATTATCCATGGAAAAATTAGTAAAGATTTCACAACCCCTTTATGCCTTTATACATTAATAACCAAAGGAAGGGGCATAGGGTGAGGGTTTGGCCATGACAAAGAATGGGACAATGGGTCACTTCCCACTTGACAGTTTTGTTTATTATTGAGCTTCGATTTTCCTCTTTCAATGGCTTTGGAGTTTGACCTTTGAGTGATACTGAACATGGGTGTGGGTTCTGGGAACAAGACAAATTTGAGTTGTGTGAGATTAATTGCTGATTGCTATTCGTTTCTCACTTGTCAGTTTCTGAATGATACAGATCATGTATCTTGGTTCTGTTAACAAGACAAATTTGATTAGTGTGAGATTAATTGCTGTTTGATATTCAGTTCAAAAACAATAAATCACTTCTCATTTGTCAGATTTGTTTATTGTTGAGCAGCTTGAGCTTCGATTTTCATCTTTCAATGGCTTTGGAGTTTGCCTTTGAATGATACTGATCATGGGTCTTGGTCCTGGGAACAATAGAAATTTGATTTGTGTGAGATTAATTGATGATTGCTATTTCAGTCCAAAAACAATAAATTGATTTTCGACAGTTACTGAGTATGAATGAACAAACAGAAAACGGAAGGTAATCGTCAGGTTGGAGTTGGACGAATTTCAGTTTGAATGATCAGGATCATTCAAGACGAATGTCTCCCATAGAATAGAAGAATGCCCAGAATGAAAATTTAAAACTCAAACCGTACCGTAGGGTTGGACCACTTTGGACCATGCAACGGCTTGTCACTCACTACTCACTAAAGTTCAAGCAGATGTTGCAACAAGACCAACGGTTTGTGCTGCATTGTGGAAGGATGAATTCCCCAAGAAATGTAACTCAGAGAATAGCCCAATTGGTCGAACTAAGGAATGACAATGAGACGGATTTAGGTTTAACCATTCATTGTTTCAATAGATCCCACATTTCCCCATGGGAAGACAAGATTAACCAAAGAGGAGACAAGAACCCAGAAGATAACCACAAATTACTGGTACAGTCAAGGTTTGAAGTATCAACAGGGTTATCAGCAAACGGCATTGGTGGAATGGCAAT